ATTTCGACTAAACATAGGAATAAATTTCTGGCAGTTAAGAGCTGTTCGACAGTGGAATGGGGACTCCCAGCAGGCTCATTCATGTGAGGGGAGAGTGGCTAGCACCTCAGGGAGACAGGTTCTTGTACAGCCTCTCATGGCTATGCTAGGTTTCTACTTGAAATTATCTTTTTATAAAGTATAGGGGAGCATCAAAACTGTGACCCCACAATCTCTCCTCAGGTACTCCAGTCCATTCTACTGTCTCAAGACTCTGCCAGCTTGCTTGAGGGCCTCTTCCACCTTGTTGCCACTGTGAGAACAAGATGGCTGGCCTAAGATGGGGCCCCTTTGGCCTGATCCAGCAGGGGAAACCTTATATTCTTACTGCCTCATTCTGCGACATGTGTCAAAATCAGCACAAGGCTGCACTCCTACGTTAGCCTAGGAATAACTGAATTAGCAGCAGATACTTCCAATAAACAGCTCCTGGGCCTGGCTGTGAATTGTGCGAGTTAATTTGGTTTGTATCTACTTGTCAGTTGTGTGCAATGTATCCTACTTCTCATAGACACAAATTCAGAGCTATACACGGTTCAGAGTGGTGTGGTGCTGGCCTCATATTGCCGCTACATTTGGCTGGCTGCTGTCTTAATGAAGACTGATGCCATGTATTTGTGCTTTGCCATTTTGATCTGTAGCAGTGTTTTAATGTCACGTGAAACGTCACAAGAAACTGACTTATGCTGCCTCAGTCCCTTGGTCCACCCAACTCACGTTTGTCTACCCTGATGGGCAGTGTCTCTCCAGAGTTCAGGCAAGGAGTAAGGATGTAAGAAGAGCCTGCTGGATCAGGCCAAGGGCCCGTGAAGTGCGAAAGCCACAAGGACTGTTACCTTCAACTATGGAGGGAGATTGTAGCCATCATGGCTAGTAGCCATTGACAGCCCCCTCCTCAATGAATTTGCCTAATCCTCTTTTAAAGCCATCCAAGTTGGTATCTTTCACTGCCTCCTGTGGGAGAGAGTTCCGTAGGTTAACTGTGCACTGCATGAAGAGTCTCTCACATAACATCCCTGAGCTATGGTTGAGAATGAGGAATGCCTTATGGGAGCATTTGCAGCCTATAAATAATTGCTTTTAAATAAAATAATGGAATACACACACACTGACCGCTCTCTCTCTCTGCCCACATATTTGCAAGCTTTTTTTCCTGAGCCATAAGAGCTCTAACAAAAGACTCTAAGGATGCTGAATTCTGTGTCAAGCACCACTCAGTCAGGGATGCACTGGAGACTTGCAGCTCCAGCTGTCAGGTGAAGCAGGGCTGATTTCCTGATGCTGTGCAAAGTGGTGCAGAAGCATGGATGGGTTCTGTCTTGCAGGGGGCAAATGATGCCTCCAAGCTAGAGTCTGAATTAAAGCACTGTGAATAAATTGTTAGCTATAGGGGACAAAGCAGAGCAGCCTAGAGGCACTCCAGGGCATCCTCCTCAACCAAGAGGGAGCTGGCATCCAGAATCTTCGAAATGCAGTGTCTGTTCTATGCGTTGCAAGCACACAGGCTCCAAATGCATCACCCTCCATGGTTCTGCCCATTGCCTCTTGCTGCCCTGGGATCTGAAGCCCAAACACATGCAGGAGGCCACCTGGCTCCAAAAGCCTCCTCAGGACCCTATGTTTGGCATGAGGCTGCCAGTTCATGCCCTCATCTTCAGCTGAAGAACAGGCCACAGCAACAGTTTTGCACATGGAAGATCCCTGTTTCAATCCCTGGCATGCCCCCTGCCTGAAACCCTGGAGGGCTGCTGCCAGCCAGTGATGACAATACAGTGGTACCTCGCAAGACAAATGCCTCGCAAGATGGAAAACTCGCAAGACGAAAGGGTTTTTGGTTTTTTTAGTTGCTTCGCAAGACGAATTTCCCTATGGGCTTGCTTCGCAAGACGGAAACGTCTTGCAAGTTTGTTTCCTTTTTCTTAAAACCGTTAATACAGTTGCGACTTGACTTCGAGGAGAAACTCATAGCACGTGGTGTGGTAGCCTTTTTTGAGGTTTTTGAAGACTCAGGTGATTTTTGAAGCTTTTCCAAAACTTTTCTGAAACCGTGCTTTGCAAGACGAAAAAATCGCAAGACGAAAAAACTCGCGGAACGAATTAATTTCGTCTTGCGAGGCACCACTGTACTGAGTTAGGTGTGCCAGTGCTACAAATCTGTACACAATGAGGATAGTTTATTCTACGAAGCAGCACAAACTCAAGACCCCAGTGCATATAAAATGGTGCTTTGCTGTCCTCGCAAAAATACTATAGTATATATACAATAGTAATGGTAAGGCAGCTAGAATTAGCCTGGAAAATATAATTTCTGACCCTATTGCAACACAGCATAAAATAGTTCTGAGCAATTGAGTGCTGGTAATCAGCTGCTTCAATGCATCATCTGCCCTTGTTGAAATGTAGATTGCAGTTCAGCCTTCCAGGTGTTAAGACCATATGAGAAGAGACTGCTGGATCAGGTCAATGGCTCATCTAGTCCAACATCCTGTTCTCACAGTGGCCAACCAAATGCTTCAATTGGCAGAGACATCACCTTGCCAACAAAAGCCCATATAGTTACAGCTATGGTTTTCCCAGTAGTGATGTATGGAAGTGAGAGCTGGACCATAAAGAAGGCTGATCGCCGAAGAATTGATGCTTTTGAATTATGGTGCTGGAGGAGACTCTTGAGAGTCCCATGGATTGCAAGAAGATCAAACCTATCCATTCTGAAGGAAATCAGCCCTGAGTGCTCACTGGAAGGACAGATCCTGAAGCTGAGGCTCCAATACTTTGGCCACCTCATGAGAAGAGAAGACTCCCCGGAAAAGACCCTGATGTTGGGAAAGATGGAGGGCACAAGGAGAAGGGGACGACAGAGGATGAGATGATTGGACACTGTTCTCGAAGGTACCAACATGAGTTTGACCAAACTGCGGGAGGCAGTGAAATACTGGAGTGGCTGGCATTCTCTGGTCCATGGGGTCATGAAGAGTCGGACACGAATAGACGACTAAACAACAACAACAGAAGACCACAAGTGGGACCCAAGCAGAAGAGCACTTCCCCCTGGCTGCTATGGTTTCCAACAACTGGTATTCAGAAGCATTGCTGTCTCCAATGATAGAGGCAGAAGCATAGCCATTGTAGCTAGAAGCCATTGATAGCCTAATCATCCATAAATTTGTCCAATCCTCTTTAAAAGCAATCCAAGTTAACAGCTGCCACTGCCTCCTGTGGAAGTAAGTCCCATAGTTTAACTACGTGCTGCATGAATAAGTACTTTTCTTTTCTCAATCCTGAATTTTCCAGCATTCAGCTTCATTGGACGTCCACCTGTTCTAGTGTCAGTGTTTTCAACTACAACTCCCATCAGGCCACACCAGCAATTTTGAAGCTGATGGGAGCACAGCTGTGTTGGCTGAGGCTGATGGGAGTTGTAGTCCAAAACATCTGGAGGGCAGCAGATTGGGAGCGCAAGGGAGGCAGCTGCAGTCTCTTGCCGTAGAAAATTTCCAGTGTTACTTGTCAAGGGCTATGTATTACTGACAGCACTTTTGGCAGAGGTGAGATTTGCACTGGAGACCTCCTCGCTTGTGTCTGTCGTTTTAGCCACTTCCCTGCACTTAAGTTCCTATAAGTGTCACTGGACCCAGAAAGAGGCTTGTTTTACCCACTCAGCCTTTAAACCAGAGCTCTCTTTCATATCCCCTTGGTTTATCTAGCCTTTTGCGTCCCTTGCTATCTGTCTCTTATCTTGGGGCCAGAGCCGTGTACCACCATCACCAGGATATTAATGTTTCTTCCGAGTCTCTGGGTTCACTTTTTATTTTTCCTGCCCCGTTCGCTGGAGAGTTGGGGGTGGGAAGAGATGTTGCTTGGCTGCTTGGAAGGCACATCCCAGCGATAAAGAGCAATAATTCATGCCTCGTCCCTTTCTCGCGGAACGTGCCGTTTCATTAACTGAAGCCTTCGGATCCGGACGCTGCCAATTCCCTCCCTGTTCTTGGTGTTAATGAAAAAGAGATTCTGAATGGAGATGGCTCCGTGCTAAACCGGGTGGCCAGTCTTTGCACTTAATTGCTTTTACAGTGTCAGGTTTGCAGAGATTGCCCTCAAAGTACAAAGCTGCCTTTCTTACCTCTTCATGGTGCCGGGTAAAAGCAGCCCCACATCTTGCCTAACCTCTGATCCACTTTCAGCTGTAGAATGGGAGTCGTTTGCATCCATTTTTATCACTTGTGCCTTCTTTAAAAGCATTCATGAACCAGAACGGGGTTGTTGTTGTTTTGTTTACTTACTTACTTACACACACACACACACACAATGTATAATAGCAGATACCACAAAAAAATAAGAGTAGGAAAGGATGACTAGAACTCAACATAGAGGACCAAATTTCCATACTAAAATTGAACATAATAAATTAATATTACAAGGTTCCAAGTAACACAAATGGGTTTACATTATTCCAGTACATTGTGAGACTACTCCATTTCTTGATAAAAACTTTTTGTTGTTGCCTGCCCTCTCTGTTTCTCACTTAACCATGCATCCTAAGTCCCAAATTGTTGTTATCCATTTTCCCATTGTTTATGTTTTCATTTTTTCCCCATTTCAGACAAATAATCATTCCGGCAGCAGCTAAGAGATGTTGCATTAATTCCCTGTCCGCTATTAATTCATTTTCTTTAACATAGTCAAATAGGAAGACTAGAGACTCCGTGGGCAAAGCATAGCCAGTTGTTACTTCCATTGCCATTGCTATATCTCCCCAGAGTTTTCTGCTTTTGGGACATGCCCAGAATATTTGCCATATCCCAGCATTTGCAGCTTTGCAGGCATCCCTGACTGTTCTATATATCCAGTTAAGACATTGCAGTGTCAGGTGAAGGGGAATGAATGTCGCCCACCTTACTCAAATAGTTCTCTATTTAACAAATAAATGTGTTTTTCCCTCCCTCTGTCTCTGTCTCTCCAAGCTCATGACCAAGCATCCAGCAAAGCGTTTGGGGTGCGGTCCTGAAGGAGAGCGCGATATCAGGGAGCACGCTTTTTTCCGCTACATCGATTGGGACAAACTTGAACGGAAAGAGATCCAGCCTCCTTTCAAGCCCAAAACTGTAAGTTCCTCCCCTCCCGTCTCACTGCCACATTTCTCTTCTTCCAGCAGAGATACTCGCTTTGCATCTGCAGTGTACATTTCAAGCACTCTTGTGCCGCTTTCGACGCTTCCCCCAAAGACACCTGGGAACTGCAGTTTGTCAAGGGCGCTGGGAATTGCACCTCTGCAAAGGATTTTCCTAACAACTCCCTGCACCCTTTAACAAACTAGAGTTCTTGGGATTCTTTAGGGGAAGCCGTGGCTGTTTAAAGGGGCATCAGGGTGCTTGGAATGCTGGATGTGGATGAGGCCAGTTATCACAGCCCCTCCTTGACCTGGACAATAACATGTCCCCTTTCTTATAGCCGTGACTATGTCGGTGTCCTGCATTAAGGACTGCTTTCTGTTGACTGGTTCACACATGCAGGATGTGAGGTGGTCATCCTGTGGGTGCGCAGACTGCAGGATGGAGGCTCACATGGTGGGAATATCCTCCATCAGGGGTGCTAACTTGAATAAAATATTGAATGGGGCAGGTAAGCCCTGCCCCCACATAATCAATCACAAGACACGGCACATGCACACCATTTAAATGACAATTCACATGGGGGGGGCTCAAATATTTTATTGGGGGGGCCGAAGAGACCTCGCCGCCTAGGAATTGGCTCCTATGTCCTCCATACAAAAAATAAAATAAATCCCCGGTACATATTGGGTAGAAAAGGTCTACCCTAGTTTTCTATTTGACATCCTAACGAAGGACTCTTTTTGAGGGAGGCATTCAGTCAGAGATGCTGGCAGCATCCTATGAACTTTGATTCATTCACTTCCCACCTGCAGCTGAGATGCAGGTTGGTGGCCTCAACCGCTGCAGTTTGCAAGAACTGGGCCTGGGTTGATTTATAGTTCTCTGCAACTCCACAAAACAGCTACGATGTGGGGAGCAGAGTTCCCGGCTCTCTTTTCCAAGGCAAGGCATGGGATGTCCCTGTACCCGCTCCGAAAAGCTTGCCTGGTACGTGCGTGTTCTCTGAGAAAGATGCGCCTGTGATCACTTTCTTGCATTAGCTCTAAGTGCGTTCGGCTTGAGAAGGCCACGTGGAGATGCCAAGGTCTCCTGAAAGTCGCCCATGGGAGGCATAGACAACATAACCTTTAGCCAGTCTATGGAAAACACTCTGCTGGTTTCCGTCTGGCCAAAATGCCACTCTTAAATCACAAGCCTGCAGAGAGGCAGGAGCAGCCCTGGTACCAGAAGTGGGGTTTCATTAACTCAGGCTACATGGGAGCCTTAATCCATGTTCTGCTCACCGGGGGGGGGGGGGGATGGAGAGAAAGGACAGGGACAAAAGGTCCTTCCTTTTTTTAAGAGTTTTGCAACTGGCATCCAACTGAGACTGTTAGACTTCTGAACGTTCAAATCACCATTGGCTTTTCTCACCGGCTTGTCTGTTGGGGTCTCCTATCCTGGGCCCCATCTCTGCAACCAGCACTTGAGTTGGAATCCGTTCCCCCCCCCCCAGCGCCTCTCTCTTTCTCTTGGAGAAGGGGCTGAGAAAAGGTCCTTTTTGCTCCCTCGGAACCTCTAGCTCAGCAACTGCACTGTACGCCTGAATCATTCATGACGTGGTAATTCACTCAGCAGGTAAAAGGCAGGCAGGCAGCAGTTTGAATAGTTTATGAGCAGGCGCCAAAAGCCGGGGAGAATTCTTATCCCAAAGAGGACCTGGTGTTCGGCCAGTGTTTCTGCACCCAATCCCCAGATAATGGCATTTTCTGCAAACTTCTAAAAGGAAAGGGAATGCACTCCCCAACTTTGTACAACCACACTTGGAATCCTACTGTATAGTTCTGGTTGCCTCGCCCAAAAACGGGTACTTAAGAGTTGGGAAAGGTTCAGAAAGGGGCAATTGAAATGATGAAGAGGATGGAGCCTCTCTCTGAGGAAGAAAGATTGCAGCCGATGGGACTTTTTAGTTTAGAGAGAAGGGAAGTAAGAGGCGACTTGATGGAAGTTTGTAGAATTATGCATTGTTTGGAGATAGTGGATAGAAAGAAGTTTTTCTCCCTCTCTCCTAATACTAGAACTTACTGAAGCTGAATGTTGGGAGATACGGGACACATAAAAAGAAGTAATTCTTAATGCAGCGCATAGTTGAACTATGGAACTCGCTGCCACATGAGGCAGTGATGGCCACCAACCTAAGGTAAAGGTAAAGGGACCCCTGACCATTAGGTCCAGTCATGACCAACTCTGGGGTTGCAGCGCTCATCTCACTTTATTGGCCAAGGGAGCCGGCGTACAGCTTCCGGGTCATGTGGTCAGCATGACTAAGCCGCTTCTGGCAAACCAGAGCAGCACACAGAAACGCCGTTTACCTTCCCACCAGAGAGGTACCTATTTATCTACTTGCACTTTGACGTGCTTTCAAACTGCTAGGTTGGCAGCAGCAGTGACCGAGCAACGGGAGCTCACCCTGTCGCGGGGATTCGAACTGCTGACCTTCTGATTGGCAAGTCCTAGGCTCTGTGGTTTAACCCACAGCGCCACCCACGTCCCTGGCCACCAACCTAGATGGCTTTAAATGAAGACTAGACAAACTCTTGGACAAAAAAAGCTGTTGATGGCTACTAGCCAGGATAGCTGTGCTCTGCCTCTGTGGTCAGAGGCAAGAATGCTTCTGTATGCCAGTTGCTGAAAACCACAGCAGGGGCAAATGTTGCTCTTGTGCTTAAATACTGCTTGTGGGTTTCCTGCAGGCATCTGCCTGGCTGTGGTGAGAAAAAGATGCTAGACTAGATGGGCCGTTGGCTTGATCCAGCAGCTTCTTCTTATGTCCTTATTGTCAACTTCCAGTCATCTAGCTGTATCTCAGTGGCAAAGTACCTGCTGTGCATTCAGAAGGTCCCACGTTCATTCTCCAGGTAGGGCTTTAAGTGACTCACAACTGAAAATCACTGCCAATCACTAAGTTAGATGAGTAGGAGGAGAAGAAGAGTTTGGATTTGATATCCTGCTTTATCACTATCTGAAGGAGTCACAAAGTGGCTAACATTCTCCTTTCCCTTCCTCCCCCACAACAAACACTCTGTGAGGTGAGTGAGGCTGAGAGACTTCAGAGAAGTGTGACTAGCCCAAGGTCACCCAGCAGCTGCATGTGGAGGAGTGGGGAAGCGAACCCAGTTCACCAAATTATGAGTTTACCACTCTTAACCACTACACCACACTGGCTCTCCTCTGTATGAGACAGCTTCCTGTGTTCCTACATAGAAAAGCCATGTCTCAGAGGTGGAGGACATCTGCATTATATGCAGGAGGTCCCAGGTTCACAACCCTTATATTTGCAGTTAGGGTAGGGAAGGTCCTCTGGGGATCTGCTGCCAGTCAGTGTGGACAGTATTGAGCTGACTGGATCAGCGACTCAGTATAAGGCAACTTCCTATGTTTCTCTCTTTTTTCATGAGCTGGTTTGGTTATTGCTGGACTCTTCCTTTCCTCTTTCTGACTTTTCTGCCTCCTGTTCCCAAGTCAAGCACTCCCTCCATCTCTCGCTCCTGCAGTCTTTTTACTTTGAGTGCCTGGTTCCTTGTGCCGCACCTGAGAGTGGCCAGCACTGTTCCTTGAAGCACCCCCAACCCCTCCTCTCCCCAATAATCTGACAGATTGGTTGTGTTTGTGTAGAAGTGGCTGTTCTGACAGGGTCGTGCATGGCTGATCTTTCGCGGCCATCCCTGCATACCAAGTGGCTTGGAGCAAACCTGACGCCAGCTCTCCTTGAGATAATTATGGGCTGGTGGTGGTGGTTGGTTTTTTAAAAAATCAAATTACCGTATTTTTTGCTCTATAAGACTCACCAGACCACAAGACGCACCTAGTTTTTGGAGGAGGAAAACAAGAAAAAATATATTCTGAATCTCAGAAGCCAGAACAGCAAGAGGGATCGCTACGCAGTGAAAGCAGCAATCCCTCTTGCTGTTCTGGCTTCTGGGATAGCTGCGCAGCCTGCATTCGCTCCATAAGACGCACACACATTTCCCCTTACTTTTTAGGAGGGAAAAAGTGAGTCTTATAGAGCAAAAAATACGGTACTTCTTTACATAGAAACCAGGGCTTGGAGAGCCTATGTGATCTGAAGGCAAAGCTCAGGCAAGGGGGATGCAGCACTTTCTTACAAATAGTTGCAAAATATATAGTGCAATCCTAGAGGTGTCTACGCAGAAGTAAGCACCATTGAGTTCAGTGGGGCTTACTCCCCAGTAAGTAAACATGGGATTGCAGTCTTCATTACAGAGCGATGGCCTCTTTGGATGTAGGGCTTAGATGTTTCAAAGGGTGGGATGTTAAATTACTCCCACTGAAAATGGCAGGCCTGTGTTTTTATTGATTTATTGATTTATTAATTTTCTATCCCCCCAGCCTTCCTCCCTAAAGGTGTACAGGGTACAGTACAACAGAAACAAAATAAAACATACTTTATAACAATTTAAAAGCACCTCAAAATGTTTAGAGCATCTGTAGGGAAAATTAAAAGCAATCACATCCCCTCAGTTCTTTTTATTTAATTTCACGGCTGCCGTGCCCATGGAAGCAGGAATGCTTTTCCGCTACTCCTCAAAGCCAGTAGTGAGGGAGACAGATGAGCCTTCTCAGAGAGGATGTCCTGCGAATGGGAAGCACCACTGAGAAGACCCTACCACACTGAACGCCAACCACGCAGCAGCCAGAGGCAGCCCCCAGCCAACAGGGCCTCCCCTGTGTTGATTCCTGCACCGCTCTGCCCCATAACATTTGGGGCCACTGACCATATGCTCTGACATCCCATTCTCCATTTCTTTGTGCCCTTCCCTTCTCTGCTACATCCTTGGCAGCAGCTGGTGAGGAAAGGGAGGATTTGGTCATGTCAGGGTGCAAGGTGAGTAACCCTAGGTGTTATGGGGGAAAGTGACTCAGCCCAGGGATGCTAACTTTTGGCACCATTCCTTGATGTCACAAGATTTAAATGCCTCTTAATCAACAAA